GCCGGCTTGACAGCGCGGCGGCTCGCCGGCTGGCGTTTTGATGGCTCGAATGATTATCCGCACGATAATAAATATCGGGAATCGGTGGGTCGCCGTTGGTGGACACATGTTTTCCCGGTTGGCGCGGTACCCGCGGCTTAACGGGTAATCTGGAAGATCCACGACGTGCCCAGGCCGCCTATTTAAGGGGAAAGTTAAGGTCGGCCGGATAGAATTAATGCGACCGCGATCAAAGGCCGAGGCCGCCTCCGTAAAAACAGAAGCACGAATTTCGTTCGATGTAAAAGCGAACGTGACTGAAAGCGCCACGGAATCGATCGCGCCGGCAAAAAACCGACCGCGACTGTGACTGGTTTTTATCCGACGTGGAAAAGATGTCTTCGTTAGCTCCGATATCGCATTCATAAATGGCACTGGAGCACGAATCTATTTCTGTACATTAAATTATACTGTAAGTGTACAAGCGGCGCCTTTTGTTTCGTCAGTTTTCAGAAGAAAACTAGTCCCATAGGAATGGTAATTTATCGGGGATATTGCCGATCTTGTTGTGGAATCAATGTCAGGGCGAATTGTTCTGAAAAGTTCAGGGAAACAGTTGCTCGATAAACCTTTTTTTCGATCACGGAGGTAGTACAGTAAATTCTCCCTAATTGACGCTTAGCTTGGAAACAAAAATGGGCAATTTGAGAAGAAAGAGATACGATTATTCGAGCCTCGCGGCTCGTTTTTACAGTTGTTGCTAATCGGCAACTATAAAAACGAGCCGCGAGACTCGAATAATCGTATCTCCGCTTCTCAAATTGTCCATTTTTCTGCACAGTCTGAGCGTCAATTAGGGGGAATTTACTGTATAGCGCGCGCGTATAGATTCCCCGGAGACTTGAACGCGTGGTAGAGCGCGACGCTCCGGAGACCGGACATTTGAACGCATGGAGAGCGCGCGATTGCGAACTCGTAGACTCGTAGCGCCGGGAACATTCGAGTCTGACCGATCGAACGAGATACAAATTGTCAAACTGGGATAAATTTGACGATCTTCCAGAAAAATACCTTAACGATTTCGGATATTATCGAATAAAGAAACGGCTAATTTGAGCTCGGCAAATCTCCGGCGTCAATTTGTACGCTTCGCCATTCCGTGGAAGATAATTTTTCGAGCGGAGGTTTTACGAAACGCCGAAGTCAGTTTTATTTTCGATCCCGGCAAAAACGTTCGAGCGAAAAGTGGTCCGAGCTGACAGATGTGTCCCACTAACGTCGTGATTACATCGATTCGAGCATGAGGCGTGTTCCCGTGTCCTTCCCGAGGACAGACGCCGAATCCCCGGTGTTAATTGACGCTTCATTCCGAGTAGCGATACGCGTTAAAAGCTCGGAACGATAAAGTGCAACGATTAACTTACCACGGACTTTAATCCCGCGCAGAAAAATCGTCCGGTTTCGTCGGGTATCGTACGGCAATAACGTTGAACGTATCTTCTCGCTTGGCCGGCCGAGCGAGCGAGCGAGCGAGCGGGCGAGCCGAGAGGGAAACGAGAAAAAAAGAAGGACCCGAGGAGAATCGGCGCGGCGCGGCATGGCGGACCGCGACACGGCGTAAGTTACCGTCGCCTAATGGCCACGGAGGTATCGGCCTCCCCTTATCATGTTAATGGAAACCTTTATGGAGACCACTTTAGGCGATATCTCTGGAAATTGCGGCGCCCCGAGGGATCCTGGGTGGTTATCGACCTGACGAGATGCGTCTTTAAACTTCGGGGTAAGCTCCGGATTTTCTAATTCGCGCTATCGATATCTTCGATTCGATGCTTTTCATCGGGTCTTTAACCCATTCGCGCCGAGCGCCGCATATATGCGGCGTCCACTCGACGACCTGTGGGTACGAGCGCCGCATATATGCGGCATCGAAATGAAGTGTATACAGAAGACGGGAATGTGTAATTTGTAGCAAAAGTGATAAAGATTGCGATGTTGGGCTTTGTATAGATCCTTGCTTTCAAATATATCGCACAGAATTATATTATTAGTTTTTACATATTATTATCTTTTAATCATTTTCGTCTCGTTATTAACTATATTAAACATTTAATCGTTAGGCTTTGTAATTATATAAATACCTATGTTACCTGTAATTTTGTAAGTCTTTTTAAATTAAAAATGTAAATATACTTGTTACATTAGAACAATGATTGTTTTATTCGGCACAGTTATTATTTAAGACTTGGAACAACATATATACAGAAACCACGTGCACTGTGCATATTTCCGGAACGAGTTTCCGTTCAGTGACGGTACTTCGGCGGATGGAGCTGTCGTAGCGAAAGGGTTAAGTCCACCACTAATCTTCATTAAATGCAGAAGAAATTGCTGGAGGCTCTACTTGTACTTACTAGGTCAAATTGTGTAATATCAGGGCTCGGAACGCATCGCGGGGAGCGAGACGGTGCGGCGGTAGTTAAAGAGGCGTAGCCCTCAATGTTAAGGTTGCAATGTTGCGTTCCGAAGCATTCCGAGCCTTGATCTACAGGATATAGATCCCAAAAATGTCTCGCAATCCGGAAAGGGGTGTTTCGAGAATTTATGTATTCTCGATGAGAATAGAGGCATTTTTAACAATATAGAGGGTACAGTAATGTCTCCCTAACTGATGCTCAGATTGTCCATCGAAATGGACAATTTGGGAAGAGAAGATATGATTATTCGAGCCTTGTGGTTCGTTTTTATAGTTACGAATTGTCAACAACTATAATAAAAACGAGATGCAAGGCACGAATAATCGTATCTTCTCTTCCCAAATTGTCCATTTTTGTGCGCAATCTGAGTGTCAGTTAGGGAGACATCACGGTATCCCAAAAATGTCTCGCAATCCGGAAATTGGGATTCCTGAGGTCGCTCGAAGTAACTTTTTCCTTAGCGAAAATGCAATCCACGGCTTTGTTTACGAGTTATTAACGAAAAACACTGGCCAATGAGAAGCGAGAGCTCGGCTGGCGCTAGGCGGTTGGACCGCCTCGCCTCTTATTGGCCAGAGTTTTTCGTTAATAACTCGTAAACAAAGCCGCGGAATGCATTTTCGCCAAGGAAAAAGTTACTTCAAATAACCCCAGGAATCCTAATTTACAGATTGCGAGACATTTGCAGGATACCCTGTATATTGTTAAAAATGCCTCTATCCACATCGAGAATACATAAATAAATACTCGATTAAAAACCTTTCATCGTCATCGAGTATCCCGCGAGTTCGTCACACAATAACTTCGCCCGAGTTGCCGTGCGACGTCTTATAGTCCATCGCGCCGCATAAAACGCTCGACCGACTCCTGATCGTTAGCGTCCTGGAATTATTCTCGAGCGGTCCTCGGAGGATCACGCGTGTGGTCGAGAAAACTGAACAACAACTATCGCGGCGATAAAAGTGAACGGCCGAGGCACCGACGCGACGCGACGCGACGCAACAACCGGCAGAAGACCACTGCGAGTCGCGATGTGGGTCAAGCGTCAAGCCTCTGGGCCAAGATGCCGGTCCACACGGAATCCTGTTGTTACACGCGAGCCGAGCACCTACACGCTTGTTCCCGAAAGCAGGCGTAAACAGTTCCTAGCGGAGAGAGAGAGAAAGAGAGAGAGAGAGAGAGAGAGAGAGAGACATGTCCCCGCGCGCTGCACGACGCTGGGACAACGCAGGAGATTCAGAGAGTTTGGTCTCGTTGCGCGGCGTCGAGTGGGAAGAACGGTACTTTCCAGGCACTTCGGGTAAAGGGGACCCTTCGGCTAGGCGAGCTACCACCCACGCGTCGGTAAACCTGGCGCAACGCTTTACTTTCTACTTTTCTAGACGGCGATCGTGCACGCGCGACCGACTGTAGGAAGAGAATTGATTCCGATGGATCTTGATCGTGGGCCTCGTCGTACTCGAAACTACTTCAGGTTCGATGATCGGTGCAGGCTAGCGGTTCGGGTCTGATGTGCGAGAGGAGCATCGGGGACTTGCCGAACACGGTCTTTCTTTATTACAGATAACGCTGTGGTTTGAGTTTCGTTGTTTTTTTAGAAGGTATATCGATGGTATTGGCGACATCAGGATTGTACATCTTGTTCGTATATGTAATTCAGGGGTGACCGAAGCGTCGACTGACTACAGTAATGTCTCTCTAATTGACGCTTAGATTGTCCACAAAAATGGACAATTTAGGAGGAGGAGACACGATTATTCGAGCCTTGTGGCTCGTTTTTTATGATTATCGATTGTCAATAATTATAGAAACGAGCCGCAAGGCTCGAATAATCGTATCTCCTCTTCACAGATTGTCCATTTTTCTGCACAATTTGAGCGTCAGTAAGGGAGACATTACTGTATTCCTAGTCGCCCGCCTGTCTGATATTACCTATGTTTATTTTGAATTTAAACTTAATTTGACTTTAAATTACCACCTTTCTTATGATCACTTAACAGGTCTCTCGAAGTGATCAAAAGTTTGGCCACCCCTGGTATAATTTGATCATGTGCAATGGCTCCCGTAAGTGTTCGAACGCCTTTTAGAACGGAATAACGCTTTTCAAATGGCACTAAATGATTTAAACTGTTCGAAGGTGTTAGAAGAACTAGCTTGTTAAAAACTGTCTAAACAATTTTTCACCATAATCTTGAAGAAGCTCGAGAAGAAATTACTACGCTTTTTAAAAGTGTGCAAATAATTTCGCGAGCCATCGCATACAACTTCATTTTCCTCATCGTTAAGTCTTCGATATAGTAATCTAGTTCTGCGAGTCGTTCATTGCATAAGTCGACATTCACCGTAACGAGTGCCGGAAACTGAAATATAATATCTATTCTTCAGCAATGTTCATCGTTTTATTATACCGATTAACCAGAAATGAAATCAATTACAGTGTACGTGTATCAAATTGAGCTGCTGTTTACAACGATAGAAAGAGTACAAATGAAATCTCCTGTCCATTTTATGCTTCAATGGAGCGAATGGAGCAGAAAAGTCTCTTACTTTTTCCTTTGACAAACTCGGAGCTGAGATCCGCTGACACATCGTAGCTACCGGCGACGATCACTAGGAGCAATATCACGCCGAAGAGGTTGCAGGTCGATAGCGTTCGTGGCCCGTGTCGGTGTTCGAACATGATGAGCTCTCATGCCCTCTACGAACCCATGGACCTTGCCCAGGTGATCCTGTCAACGATGCCCACTTCTTCGTGCCCTCTTCGACTGTCACGAGCAAGGAGAAGATCGGAAGAACCTCGAAGACGTGTTTCCGCTGCTGCCATCGCTGTCTCTTCAACGTCTTCTTCGCATGGTTCCTCTCATCGCCATGTTTCGCGTCTGAAATCAAAGAAAACCTCGCGTCAACGTCGTTTCTCCAAACAAATCCAATCGAGAACAATTATATTTCAATCTATCGTCGTGTGATTCTTGGTTCGTTAACCCTTTCGGTACGAGCGCCGGATATATCCGGCATCCATTTGATGACCAATATGGACGAGTGCCGAATGCATCTGGCATCTATGTGAGCCATATTTCTGACATATTAGAAATTATTCTAATAACCGTTTTTCAAAATCATTGTAAGAGCATCAAATTACTTTATATTTAAAAAAAAGAAACTGTTAAAATAGCATTGTACTTGCCAATAGGCTCAATTTCATATGCATGAATCGCAATTGAGCCTTAAAGGTAGCCACCCGTGCCGAAATAAGCATCGGCTGGTCTACGCACCTTATCCTAATCTTAAAGGTAGCCACCCGTGTCGAAATAAACATTGGCTGGTCTACGCACCCCTATCAAAAATTCCAATTGCATGCAACCTTCGGCCACCCAACCTGCCTGGCCCTCGGCTCGTAATAGGCGTGTAATCTTTTCCGCTCGAAACAAGACTTCCTTTATCTCGGGCGCTTTGCTCCAAAAATGTGCCGGAGTTGCTGTTAGTGATATTTTTCAGAAAAACGCTGTTCAACTTTATTTTAGAACGTCCGAAGAATATTTACTAATTTTTAATTTAATTTAATTATTAATCGAGCCGATTCCAGTGAAGATTAACGATAAAAAAATTCCGGCAAACTCACGCAAAAGATATTTCTGTTTCAATAATTCCGTATCCAAACAGATTTCAACAGACGATTCGCAATGCTAATTTTATAATAAATCGCGTCATAGAACACGAGGGATATATTTATTTAAGAATTGCGAAGAATATCATTAATAGTAAATTTACCCATTTCGATGAGGATGCATTTGCTGCTTGGAAATTTCGGTCACAATTCACGATGTCGATGCACCGACCTCGCACAATGTTAAGTAGATACCATTACGATTAAAACATTTTTTGCCCATTTTTATACTTAGCAACATAAAATGAATAAAATCAAACGCTTTCGCAAGGACGTGTAATCTTTTCCGCTCAAAATAAGACTTCCTTTATCTCGGGCGCTTTGCTCCAAAAATGTGCCGGAGTTGCTGGTAGTGATATTTTTCAGAAAAACGCTGTTCAACTTTATTTTAGAACGTCCGAAGAATATTTACTAATTTTTAATTTAATTTAATTATTAATCGAGCCGATTCCAGTGAAGATTAACGATAAAAAAATTCCGGCAAACTCACGCAAAAGATATTTCTGTTTCAATAATTCCGTATCCAAACAGATTTCAACAGACGATTCGCAATGCTAATTTTATAATAAATCGCGTCATAGAACACGAGGGATATATTTATTTAAGAATTGCGAAGAATATCATTAATAGTAAATTTACCCATTTCGATGAGGATGCATTTGCTGCTTGGAAATTTCAGTCACAATTCACGATGTCGACGCATTGACCTCGCACAATGTTAAGTAGATACCATTACGATTAAAACATTTTTTGCCCATTTTTATACTTAGCAACATAAAATGAGTAAAATCAAACGCTTTCACAAGGACGTGTAATCTTTTCCGCTCAAAATAAGACTTCCTTTATCTCAGGCACTTTGCTCTAAAAATGTGCCGGAGTTGCTGGTAGCTAGTACTCGAGAAACGCGTGGAGCGCTAAGGTTTAAATATTGATCGTAAAAGTAAACGCGATAAGAAAAATATAACTTGCTACATGTTCAACCAAGATTAGATACATTAATAACATAAGAGACTCGTGCAAGATCTCGTTCGGGTTTAAAGGATTATGCAGCACTGCGCAGCGTGGCAAATAATTCAAACCGATTAGTACAACACGATTCAATTTCGAGTAGTAACAGAAACAAGTTGTAACAGAAAGTCCACGAAAGATTTTCATTCTCGTGGAAAGATGCAATCAGAAGCTTACATACAACCCATTTGCCAAGTGCCGCGATAGCAGTAACTCATACAAACAGCCGTTGTCGCCTAACTCTTTGATCTTCGCGCGTCGCAGAGGCCAGGATTTTCCCATGACTTCGCGCGGCGAAGATCGATTCCCATACCGGGGCCGGGTTCCTCGATTTGGAAATAGATCGCCGGATCGCGAAAAAACGCCTATTCGCCTTTTACGTTGGCAATTGTTTTGTCGTCGCCTCTGCCGAGGGCTCACCTACCAGTCGCGGCGAGGGGACTGCCGGTGGATTGTTCCGAACGAAACCAAAGAGGAACACGAGGACCAAGCAGTAGACGACGGCGAAGGAGATGAAGAAGAAGAAGAAGCAGAAGAAGAAGAGGAAGAAGAAGAAGGAGAAGAAGAAGAAGAAGAAGAAGAAGAAGAAGAAGAAGAAGAAGCAGAAGATAGGGAGTGGAAGATAAAAGGAGCGAGGATAGGAGCGAAGGAGAGGAAAGAGAGGAAGACAATGCGGTGAACAGCAGGCGTCTGCTCTTCCCCGAGTACCCCTGGTACCCCGACCCGTTTTCTCTTTTCTCTCCTGTTCGCTCGTCCACCCTGCGCTACGATCTCATCCCGAAGACCCCGTTCCGTTGGCCTGTGGCTCACGGCTCCTTCTTTGTTCTTTCGCACTCCCCGCGGAGTGGCGAACACGGGTTGCCTTATTCGGCCGCGACGGGCAACGATCAACTTAAACAAATGACGTCGACCAGGGTTCTGGCGCGGCGCGGCGCGGCGAGTCCCTACTATTGCTATCCAAGTAGCTGATTACGCTCAGCTCGCTCCGCCGCGCCGGCTCCGGGTCATCCCCTCGGTGCGGGCCTCGTCTATTAATTACGATCGGTTCGCGCCGGCCCCGACTCTCCTCGTTGACCAGACGTCCGATCGCGATCGTGTCGATCGTGATTGCCGAGTCGAGCGGCGGGCATTCCTCCGGTCGTCGCGCGACGCGCGTCGCGTCGCGTCGCCTCGCGTCGCCACTGCTCGGTCGCTCGGACCACCGCTTCTTCTGCACGGACTCGTCCGCCGAGTCGCGCCGCGCCGGTGTCCTCTACGATGGTCTTCCTCCCCCTATTCTCTCTGCTATGCCGTGATCCGTGATAGGTACCAGACTGTCTGCCGCCGAGAAAGACGTGGGACGCGTAGGTCCTATTCGACCTACCCGATACAAGGCGCTCGTAACGACGCGTCAAGGGATCGTGGATATTTAATATTCATCAGGACGATCCGAGATCTAGGACTGGTGATTTAGCTCTGACGCTAACGAGCTAGACAATCGAAATTTTCGCAGTAACAGATGCCGGGTTCAGCCGAGTTCAGATCGCTTCGACTGGGCTCGACACGACCGACCGATGTTTCTTGCGACTTCTATTTTCGGATATTGTTCTCTTTCAACCAGTTAAGCGTCGAATTTGGTTTTAAGAATCGCTCACAGTGTGCGGAATTAAAATCAAGCGACGACGTGTATACAGGACGAACGCAGAGCAAAATGGCCCTATTACAAATTTTATGAAAAACGAAGAAGAACTATATTTTTATTGAAGAAAAACTTAACGATTTATTTCTGAAAAGTTATTGTTATTATAGACTTAAACATTGTCAAATAATAATAAAATATGTAAATAAGAAAGACACATGTAGAACAAAAAATATTAAAAAATATAAAAAATATATAAGTACTAATATAAACATATCATTATTGTCTCTATTTCTACATTTCTTATAGACAAAGTGTCGACAATAACATTTGTCGCTGTAATCGTGTCGACGAAAACATTGTCGCTGAAATAATTGTTGATGATTTCAAGGTAATCCAAAATCCGAGTGTACCGTAGCTTCGGCTGATTCTATAGAAAACAATAAATAAATCAAGGAGTTCGCTAATTGAGAGCCGTTTATTTTGAAAGTGGCATAAGTCACTTTGTTTTTAAGTCGATATATTTAAGGGTTTGCGTTTTAACACGTTTAAAAATATGGATGCTAACTTTCGAGAAGATTTACTTGTATTTGTTATCTCAGGATACTGATATTTTTCTCTGTATAAATAATTTCGTATAAACATTAAAGAATCACCACTTTTCATCACGGTAAAGTGACTCTTATGCCACTTTCAAAATAAACGGCTCAATTATCGAAAGGAAAGAAATCGTAAGGTCGCGTAACGAAAAGAAGACATTTGCTGGCATAGCAACTATCGTTTCGCACAATTTTGAAACACCATAGCTCGCCAGCCACCGTAGCGTATGCAAACAGAATCAATAGCGTTAACCTTTCGCTAGACTACACACGCAGAGAAGAAATAATGCGCGCGATACCAATTAGAGTTTCGACATTCGCTCGACTGAAATATTTTCTCAGAGGAGAAACACGCAACTACGCGATGTACGCAACGCTGGCCCGGAATTTGCATTGAAAAGAGCGATCAATCGAAATTCGTGCGAACTCATTATCGGCCGGGATAATGCGCGCAATTAACGGCTAATAAAGTACCTTTCCATTAACCGTTGGTTAATACCGGCGACCGGAACGTTGTAAGCCAGAACCGGTTCGTTTCTCGTAGTTCGTTCGCGAGATTTTTGCCAAAACGGTCCGGCGGCATGGGCACGGGCCCGGGCCCGGGGCCCGGGCACACGTCGCGTCGGGTCGCGTCGTGTCGCGCGTCGCCACGACAGACTTGGCAAATCGAAGTGTGCCGCCTTGAACATAACAGAAAGGACATTCTTGGCGGACCGCGTAAAAAGCTCGGCCGGGTTACCGGACCCGACGTGTACACGAATTCTTAATTCCGCCTTGATATTGCGACACACATTATTAGAGCCGTTTCGCAAGCGTGATGCATGGTTGTTCTAGTCGGGAGAATAAAAGTGGAGGACCGCTTTCTACGAGATTTTTGAAACTCCGATCTGGTTGCAAAAGTAATTAAGTATGTGCTCGTTCTTTTGGGGACTAGCATCGAGTTTTTCGAATCATTTGTTAAATCGTCGACGAAAATTGTGAAGCGACGAG